TTTCCGAGTTTTTCACGAATTTCGTTCGTCATGTTGTTTGAAGTGTCAGATGGATCCTGGCTGGGATTCATGCATTACTCGCTGCCTGAGTCTTTAATGCTCGAGAGCAGGGCAACGGAACTTATCAAATTATCAAATTTTTTAATTGTTCGGTACGATCCAATAATCAGCATTACTGCGAGAGCGAAGAGACCGAGCGAGAACGTGCCATCGCGCAACTCCCGGGCCCCTACCGCATGTTCGAAGACGCTTGAAGTTACATGAGCAGGGAGCTGCGGCAGGAGAGGCTCGCTACCCCATCTGCCCCTACCGATCGCGTTGCTGCTGGAAAATAGAAAAACAGAAAATAACACAAACTTGACAAATCAAATCAACACACATGAGACTGCTAGAGTTCTCTGAGGAGAGGAACGGGGGCGTGCGTTCCCCTCGATTTTTTGCAGCAATTTTATCCTTGTCTTGAACTGTTCCTCTCACACCTTTGATTTTATCAGGTGAAAATTGTTTACAGCTATTCCAAATAATAGAGAAACGCACGCGCCCCCTCTTCACTTTGTCCAGACGATCCTTATGTGTCTAAATCATCCCCTTTTCAGGACCAATCGATGACTTTTACGAAGAAAAACGTATCTTCATCTACTTGAACATACAAATACGTTTTTCTTCGTAAGGGTCATCGCATTGATGTGCTGAATCCTATCAGCAACCTCTAATGCCGAGGGTAACACATGAATCCCAGTCAGGATCCATCTGACACTTCAAACAACATGACAAACGAAATTCGTGAAAACTCGGAAAAAATGTATTTTCGAAAAAAAGTTTCCTGCAAAAAGTTTGTATTTTTTCCGTAGAATACGATCCTGCAATAAAAAATAGGGGTTTCCATTTGAAAAATCGAAGTTGACCCTCGTTTGACCTTGAAAATCGACTTCAAGGTCATTTTCAAGATCACCACCGTATGTCTCCCTTCGAACCCTATAACTTTTGTCTAAAACATTTTTCTTCATTCTGCTCGGGTTTCGAGATATTTAGGGTGGGACATTAAAATGGGACACCCTGTATGTATGACTGAAGGGTATACAGGGTGTTTATTAAGTACTTGAACAAACTTTAACGGGTGAATCTTTGACTAGTTTTAAGATAAAAACTTCATATGAACATAGGTCCGCAACGGTCTTGAGATACAGGGCGTCCAAAACAAATTTTTGTTTGGTA